GTCTTTGTAACCAAAAGGGGTTTTACGAGGGGAGGTACTTGTGTAAACTATTGTTTACTGTAACGGGGTTTTCCAATAAAAGGCAGCGAGCGAGGCCGGAGTCGGGGTCACTTTGTGGTAGGATTCGAAGTGCGTTCCTGAGACACCGACGAGGCCTCCCTTGTGTAAGTAAATCGATCGACCGCTGTTGCTTTGTTTTTCCTTCACGACAATAAGTCTCTACACCAGCGGGACATGTGGAAACACAGACCCAACACAAATCTTCAAATAACACTGAGGAAATGTTAACATTTTATTGTAAGATCTCTGCTGTTACTGACGTTTGGCTAACGAACCCACAGAAAGAAAAAAAGGAGTACTGGCAAATTAACCAAAAAAAGAGAAATGGGCGGTTGTTGTTTATGTTTTCCATTTAGCCGAAGAATCCATGAACCATGCTTGTGGAAAGTAACGCGGTGTAAAACACGCCGGGACTGTATGCACAGGCTGTAATGACATCGTGGTCAGCCCACTCTCTGGGACTGCTGCTGGAGAAATGCCTCATGGGTATCACTGCAAGCTCACCATAGCTGCAAAGTACTCAAACACTACTGTGCAACCTTTACACACTGTTATTAAATACACTGGATACATACATGCATGAATAGGACCTTATTCCTGATTCAAGCCCCAGCTGTAAGCAAAGTTAGTGCACGCACGCACACGCACACACGCACACACGCACGCACACACGCACACACGCACGCATGCACACGCACACACGCACGCATGCACACGCACACACGCACGCATGCACACGCACACACGCACCTGTAAGGACTCACAGGAGTCAAGTAGGTCCAAGAGAGCAAAGAGGAAATCATGCTGCTGTGAGAGTCACCGCTACGCTCCAGCACATCGCTCCGAGTGGAACAAGCCCCGCCTTCATCAGACATGGTTAATTTTGTCAGTCTGACAGCTGGACTGTAGGCACGCCCATCAGCAGCAGCTACCTGCCACGTCTGCTCTGACTTGATAAGAAACCGCAGTGAAATTACAAACCACTGACCCGAGTTTCTCTTTCTCAATGACACAGTCGCTCCGCTTCCCTTTCTTCTGTTCCTGTCACTGCGTAAACTAAATTGTGTTGCACAGAGCCTCCGTGACCGAGCGTGTCCCACTCTGACTCTCATCATGCACCCAACACAAACACTGACATGAGAACGAAAAATGCACTGTTAAGCTTGCCTGTATAAAGCTTCCACTGTTTCATCAGGACAAAGTGTCCATGATGATTTTTAATAACGCAGAGCTGTCATTTCTCTCAGGCTAATAAAGCTAATGTTTGAAATCACAGGCAGGATTGTAGCATCGCCGTTCTCATGCTAATGTTAAGATTTAAAACACGGAGAATTATCTTGACAGGATGACAGCTACGCTGGAACCCTCTGTGGCTCATTACCAAGGTCAGAAGCTCCTCTGAAGGTGTAGTAGTAAATGCAGCATTACAGACAATACCTACTGTGCCCATCACTGAAACCAACACTCAGATGCTCAGCTGCAAGACGAGCGAAGCCAGGAGCAGTACCCTCCACGGGGGAAGACACTGGAGGCCGAGCAGCCAACCCCCTCGCTGTGCCCGAGAAGGACAGCAAGCTGCCCATAGCTGAGGCCAAGCACAGACTCACAGCCTTGGCCTAACAATGCTCGTGTCAGCAGGTCAGGCCAAATTATAGATAATAAAATGCGGTTAAAAGTGGAACCTGGGGGCAGTTAGGATTTTGGAAATGCCTGTTGTCAAAATGAAAATGACTTGATGTCACAGAATCGACAGCAGCATCCTTTGTCTGGAGTTTGGTACCAACATTTATGAGGACGATTAAACCATCCTTACAAACAACATGAATCGTTATTAAAACTGAAAACAGAAGTTATAGAAGCTCCAAGTGGGAGGAAAGGGATCTGAAATGTGACTCACGTAGTGGGAGAAACTTCGAGCGAGGAATTTGGCTCCCAAAAGCGAGTAAACGTGTCAAACCAATGCAGATGCTTCCACCCAGGAGCGGTGCATGCAACAGGAAGGTCATTATCGTCAGATCAAGATGCAAGAGGCAACCATTTGAGAGGGGCAGCAGTTCAGCTGCAGCAGCTTCACTCACACGAAGGCTAAGCTTCACATAGAACTGGCTGCGTGTACGTTTACAGTCAGCGACTACGATTAGAAGAAAATGCTCCTCTGCTGCTATGTGATGATATCGAACATCTGCTTCTCAGACTGAAGCTGAAGTATGGGCCGGTGCTCAAAAGGGACCAGTTCAGAACTGGCTGGAAGTCTCATGTTTCCATGGTAACGATGGCTAGGATAACATCTACATTCAGATCCGTCTAAATCGGGATGGGGAGCTCCAGGCCTCGAGACCTGCAGGTTTCAGATGATGATCCAACACAGCTCCTTAAAATGGCTAAATGACCTCCTCAGCGTGTCCCCAGGTAATGAACCCATCATGTGATTCAGGTGTGTTGACCCAGGAAGCTGCAGGACAGTGGCTCTTGGGCCTGGACCTCCCCACCCCACCTCCCGGGTCAGAAACTCTGGTTAACAGCGCACATGATGTTCATGCATCAGTACTTCCGCTAATATAGAAACGTAACACAAAGTGTCCCGAGATGATCGACGTCGAGTCCTATATTGATGCAATTTGGAGCAATATGCACGTGATAGCAGAAGAGCAGCGTTAGCTCAGTGAGGCCAGAGGGTCAGTGCAGTCTCTCAATAGAAAATATCAATGAAAGTGAAGCAATGCTAAAACTACAGACACTGGGCTGCAGGACCTCCATATCCTCAAAAGATGATCACCTCACTTTGTTACTGTGACACATCGTCTGAGTTTTTCTAGAAAGCAGCACGTGGTTTAAAAAATCTACCACAAAAACACAAGTTCAGTTAGGGCTCCAATCACAGCCTGGTCAGCTGTCAATGTGAACATCTGCCTGCACTCTCCAGGAAACACTTTCAGTTTAACGTCCTGTCATTAATGCAAACTGTGGAAAAGTCATGTGTGGAGGACGAGCGAGAGGGGACACTGAGACACCTTTACAGTAATCTAACAAGTCATCAGCATGTCTGATGTTACGGCACCTGCCTCTGTTCTACACGCTGAAGCTGAGCTGAGGAGAGACAGAGCGCCACGGACAAGGGTTGAGGTAAAATATTCAGGTGTGCTGTACACTTTTGTTCTTGAGAGGGAGCAAGTCAGAACTATCGGGTCTCTGAGGTCACATCGTTTTCAAACCCAGCGCCGTCTTTCGCTTCTCAGGTTAAACATGATATATACGTCACGCAGTTACTTAGTTTTAATGTAACTTTTATTATTCTTTCTGGGTCACAAAATAAACCTTTAAGATATTTTCAGGCGTGAATGTAGCCGAGTAAACTTCAAATATCTGCTCGGTATCAAGACATCGCATATTTGCAAAAGCGCTCCGACGTTTTCGGAGACGTCTGTTACCCACCAGCTCGACAGCTGACCGGGAGCTCGAGGCTCACTCGAGCCGCCGAGAACAGCGCACTCACGACGCATCATTTTCAGATCGCTGCGGTCTTTTTGCTACTCAGGTTAAACATGATAAATGAGTCACTTAGATAACTTAAAAATCTTATTGTTTGGCTTTTTTCAGGGTTTGATTTGTTCCTGAGTAAATCGGTTTGGCTGAGATTAAAGTTACAGTTTCACACAAACGGAAAACTGATGAAACAGAATTACTCCAGTGTCCTGTTATATTTGACATAGAAAGAACAGACGCTGAGTTTATTCAACTCCACCGAGACAATCTGCAAGTTTCATTCAAGTTTAATAAACTATCATCTTGTCTTTATTTTTAGTGAGCACCTGAAACACTTCCAGCTGTAAGCTCGTGATAGTTAGAGCAGATGCTGCTGGACGCCTGATCTGATCAGTCGACTATCAAAATACTGGTTTGTGGCAGCCTAACTGATACCTTTAAAGAGAAGCTTGGGACCCACCTGTGCAAGCTTGCTTTGATTAAGCTTTATTTTCTATCTACTTTTGGATCATAAAACACTTTGTAACCTTTCTTCTTGGAAAGTGCATATAAAACTTGACTTGCTACACGTAAGAAAGAAAAAGGAACAGTTCCTCTCTTGAACAGAGCTGAAACTTTCTCACTGCTTAAAAGAAGAACTGGAAAGAAAGTACCATTCAAAGCATGAGCAGAGCTCAGAAAATAAAGAATACTACACAAAGTTAACACTCTTCCTGAGTCTGAAAGGTCTGCCAGCAAAAACATTCTTCATTCTTAAGCTACCGGCCGTAAACACTGAGCCACGGACGGATTGTTAGACTTGCTGCCCGGTGTGCAGTCACCCACAGCACGCATACGACTCTGACCACCTGCATGTTTACTGTCATTTTGAGAGTTTCCCTGATTACTCTATATCTTTCAAGTCATGATATTGTGTCTCAGTGGGTGATTTGTGTGTTTTGTGACCACTCTCTATAACAGAGTCTTTGCGTAGCCCTTTGTGTTTTTGGTCATTCTCTTTGTTGTTGTCTGGTTGAGGGAGTTTGGGGTCTGGGGGCTCTTCCCAGGTGTTTCATTTCTTAGTTTGGTCGTCATCTTTAACATTTCATGGCTTACATGCTCAGCACACTTTACTCCGCTGGGTCTGGACCGTACCTGATTTTGTAGTTGGGTAAGGTGTGTTTCTTCTTGATGACCCGTTTCAGCTGGTTGACTATGATGGAGGTGAGCTGAGGCAGTGGCCTCCCTTCAAACTGGGACTTCACCTCAAAATCCACCAGTGGATCCTCGAGGAAGGAGAAGGACCAGTGGGAGAAGGGCACGCGCGTGAACTGCAGCCTCAGCCTGCCCACCACGCGCCTCATCTTGACGAACAGGTACGCAGACTTTCCGAACACCAGCTCGACGTCGATGGCGAGGTGGAAGCCGCCATTGTACTCGATGTCCACCTCGAAGTTGAGCTCTTCGGGCATCCCGTCCTCGTTCAGATGCGCCGGCTTCATGAGTTTGGCGGTTTTAAAAACCGGCAGCGAATTCCCGAGAGAGAAATCTTTCAGACTGAGTCCCTCCAGGAGCCGACCAGCTGTCTTGGTCTGCAGCAGCTCCTCAAACTCCACCTTAATCTTTTTGGTGAGCCAGTGTCTGACGACGGGAGTGTCTCTGAGCTCCCGGAATAGGAACAGAAAGATAGCGTTTAGGAAATGGCACGTTTCGGCTTTTCCTGCATCGATGGGCTCGCTTTGGGAAGGCGGTGGCGGCTGTTGTTTCGGGCCGCCGCCGGTGACGGCTGCCTCCTGCTGCCGCGTAGAGGCGGCCTCTGGCTGCTTAGATGCGGTACATGTCGTGCTGTCCTGCTGCTGGCCTGCTTCGGCATGATGGCTATTAAAGTAATCCTTCAGCGCGTTACCGGGCACTACTTTGACATACTGCACTGTCCTGCCTACGGGCTCGGGGCTTCTCCGGTATATTAGCAGGAACTGTACTATCAGCGTAACGACTGCACCGAAAACCGCGGAAACGAGTATTAAGTAAATCATGTCGAGCACGCGCCCTGATATCCACTCAAAGTGTTGTGATAACACGAAGCAAGTTCTACTTGGGCGCTCTCAAAGCTGCCATATCATCGGCTTCTTTCCTGAGCTTCTCTTAGCTTCTCACCTGATTGGACGAATGGGTTACGTGACTGTGCGTGATGACGAAGGCGGGTTTTGATGCGTTCAAGCAGACTGCGAAACCTGTTGACCGGAGTCACCGGGTTCCGCGGCCCTCTTTGTAAACACGGCTTTCCTTTGGTCACAGTCTTGAACATACGGCTGCCATGTTACCGACAACCATCACTTCCTCTAAATATTCATGTTTATTCTTCATATTTTAGTGCAAATGTATTCAGTGCCAATAGAATAGCTCTTTTGTCACCATACAGATGTACAAATGCATCTCCAACTCAGATGAGGGAGAAGAAAGGGTGCTCAGTTTCTGCAGCACTGTATACATATGATGAACAGTATTTTTTTTAAATATATGTGTATGTGTATGCGTGTGTGTGTGTGTGTGTGTGGTGTGTGTGTGTGTGTGTGTGTGTGTGTGTGTGGTGTGATATACAAATTAACAGTTATGTTATTTCCTCTTTGTGTGTAAAAAAACCAACACAAGCATCAAACTAAATTTTAAAATTTAATTCTAAAACCAAATAAGGGTAAAACTAGTCAGATATCTATTCATATTAATGTACAGAATTCACCTGCTTGCTGCTACTACTGCACATTCACCCAGTGTATATACTAGTCGTATATATATATATAATGTTCTTCCTCTACACCCCCCCCATTTTTGCACATGTCGAGGAGCGTGTCAGGCTACATTTCACTGTGTGTTATACTTGTATAACTATGCATGTGACAAATAATAAAGAACCTTGAACCTTGAACCTTGACTGTCTAAGACTGTCTAGCATGTTTTTCCTGAACACTCCTGCAGGGGTCACTGGTGTCTTTCTCACTGCGTTGCACTTTTTGTTGTTTTACATTTCAAATGAACAATTAAAGAAAACGCACGAAGACAGGTATCATGAAAAGAAAATGGGCATTGCACTATGACACAGGTGGAGCATGGTGGTGGCAGCATCAAGCTGTGGGGTTGGCAGTAAGCACAGAGGGAATGACAGACCCACTGGATCCAGCCAAACAAAGAGAAATCTTTGATTTATCAGTATATCCTACAGTCCAGATGGAATATGGAAGTCACAGGATAGAATTTAGTCTTAGGACCAAAACTCTGAAAGTGTAAAAAACACCCAATCCCCTGAGATTTGGCTCATTTCTGTTCAATAACTGTATATTTAACAAAACCACGTAAAATCAGCTACTGTGCCATCCCCTTTCAGAGGTACCGGAACAAATTGATTAATTACAAATCAATGTGTAAAGTTGATTTTCTCTTTTTATTATGCATATTGTTTCCAATACAGCCCTTTTTGAGCCCTTACATCTTTTTAAGTCATCAAGTAAATAGTATGAAATTTTAGGACATTGAAACCATATCTAATATTTAAACTAAGAAGATATGCTATTTTGATTTAAAAAAAATAGATAATCCTTTGAATTTCATGACACTACCATGTTTAAGAAACAGTTGGGTTGCGGTTGTGTTGGCTTCATCAGGTGGAGGCTTGTAGCTTGGTTTCACAGCCTAGTGTGAAGCATTAGGAATAGAAATCAGCACCTACGAGACAAGGTCAAGTTTCTATAGCACATTTCAAACAGCCGATGCTGCACAAAGTGCTTAACAATATAAAAATGGCATTAAAAAGCAACAATGTAATACATTAATAAGAATAAAAAACAATGATAGGACAATAAAAGAATTAAAACAATAACTAAAACTATTTCAAATAAGACCAGAATGCTTGGGTCATAGTGTGTTAAAAGCCAGGGCATAGAAATGTGTCTTTAGTAATGATTTAAAGTGATCAAGTGTTGTGCAGATCTAACATTTAGGGGAGACTATTTGAGACTCTGGGACCTGCCACAGAGAAGGATCTATCACCACGAGATTTGAGATCAGTCTGTGGTTTTGAGCTGGACCTCGTGGTTTGTCCTGGAGCATAGGCAGAGAGGGGCTCAGACAGGTAAGGAGGGGCTCGGGCGTTAAGAGACTTAAAAACAAAAAGTCAAAGTTGAAATTGGATCCTGTAGGAGACAGGAAGCCAGTGTAAAGAAACTAAAACTGGGGTTATAAGCTCTCTCTGTTTGGTACCAGTTAGCAGGCGAGCAGCTGCATTTTGGACCACCTGAAGATGATGGATGGAGGCCTGATCTAGACCATAATACAATGAATTACAGTAGTCTCATCTGCAAGTAAGGAAAAGGTGAATAACACGCTCAAAGACTTTAGCCGGGAGGTATGGCTTTACCTTGGTCAGCTGTCTTAACTGAAAGAAGCAGGACTGAACTGCTGCACTCACCTGCTTATTCACTTTAAAAGAACCATCAATGTAGACACCGAGGTTTTTTTACATGTGTTTACAATGGGAGGAAAGGGGCCCAGAGGCTATGGTTATGGTTCCCGGGCAGAAGAGGGTCGAATGTGGTATGCTCTAATATAACTTATTCTTTGCACAACAGAGTTTTAACCTGCAGACAGACGGAAGCTCCCAACTAGTAGATTTGGACAGACAGAAAAAGAAGAGGCAAATATCCAGAAATCCTACCAGTGGCTGGACAGAGCTGAAAGACAGCACAGAGGCACTGAAGATCCAGAGAGCCTGTAACACCAGGCACGTTTGGGTGCTTTTCAAAGCTGTACTTTCCCAGTTTTACTTGCTTGTGCACCTCGTGGAGCTGAAGCAGCATTACAGAGCCTGACTAATTATAGTGAAACCAGTTATTTCAATTTATTGCTGCTGAAGGTGCTTCTACAAGACTGGCGTAAAAACTCTCCTTTTCACATGACGATATTTCTATTACAAGCAAAAGCAATACGACCGGATCGAATGGGACACCTACTGTGCTGATTACCCCTTCAGCTTTTTTCTTTTACCTGAGAAGCACCGCGTCAAACAGAGTTGGTCCGCTAGCGTCCCAAAATAAAGAGACGGAAGGCGGCGTGAAGAAGCGCTTTGAGCATATCTGGAGAGAAGTTTGGTCGTCTGTGTGTTCGCTTCTTTTCCTTTTTCAGAGGGCTTTGATTTTATTTTAGATATTAAAAAACATGAATATTTCATCATATATTTCTAGCAAGGACGTATTCTTCTGTCGTCATAGATGAACCGCCTTCGGCTGGAAATTACGGGTGGGCCTTGAAGGCAGCATTAATCCTCGCACCTTTTCATCACAGAGGTGTTTCATTTGTTTGAGTCGCCGCCGCTGGGGTGGCATTGGAGCTTTCTCTGAGGTCGGGGCAGAGGATAACTGCGTGTTTTTACTGCGTGGAGACAGTTTCTGTCCGCTCCTTTTACATTTCCCTGCATGGGAGACATCCCAGCCTCAAACATGAGCAGTTTGAACGCGTACAAAGAACCATTTGGTGAGTAAAACATCCATTTCACTGTCCGTGTCAGAGCGCCGTTGTTTCATTCATAACTGTTCTCAACAAGTGTCGTGAAAAGTTTCTTAAGATTTGTCACTATTGTTTATTGTGTGTTAAAACGACATGTTGCCACATAAAATGATGTATTTGATCAGATTTCATCTTCATCTAAAGTATTTTGAACTTAATTCAGTTCAATGTAGCGTCGTTTAGGATGGAAAGGAAGAGCAGCATCCGTTTGTTGGTTAACCACACAACCAAGAAAGTTTCCACAATTAGAAAAATTTCCTTTTTCGACTAAGCGGAAAACCCGCTGGCCTCTGCGCTGGCATCTTATTTGCTGTCCAGTGAAGCTGTGGCGTGACGTGTGACCTTCACGCATTGAGTGATATGCTGAGCGGAAAAGAGTAGGCCACCACAGTTCCACAGAACGAAGTCTAGTGGGCTAAGACAGATTAGAAAGAGGCTCCGTTTGTGGTTTGTATTTCCGTGTTAGTGTCTTAACGACTGCTTGTGCCTCTTGCGTGCTGTAACTGATGGCTTTATTGATCACTGATACGTGCTGTGCTTCACAGCATTTTAAAAAGAACACATTCTGGTTTTAATCCCACTTTTTAATAATCATTTATTCTGGTTTTGCTGTTCTATCTATTTACATATTGACTGATGTGTCTTAGTGAGGTGTTGGGCCACCGCCATGTGCCAAAAACTCTCCAGTGCTTTCCTGCACTGATTCTCCGGGTCTCTACAGGGACGGTGGAATACCATTGTTTCAAATGATATGATGATGGGGTGGACAGCGCTGTCAGCTGGGTAGTGACTGAAGGCCACAGCTAACCTATTTGCTTTATTTTATTTATAGTTTGTTATTACTGTAATTTAGCACTCATCAGGGAGGAACAGCATCCAGTATTGAGACCAGTCCAGGTCATGCTGCACAGCATTTGTGATCCCATCAGATACACAGAAGCATCCCAGAACGGATTCCCTGCTCTGCTTCAATAAAAACAAAGCAGTGTGTGTACGTCTGAAGGAAGCTGCATCACGCTGGGCATGAGTCACACATCATTTGCTTTTGAATGGCTTGTTTGGAATATCAAGTTATGCACACTACCATAAAATATTAAAATAAGACTGAGCCTTGAGAATATCCCAAATACAGTCTAAGACTGCAGGGTGTTCAGTTGCGCTAACCAGTTAGTCGTCAGTGCTTCCCAGCAGCGTTATGGAATTCATATGGTCTCTGGAGTCTCTAATCCTGGGGTCTGATGCACTTCAATATTACTGTTGACTGACGTCTGTTAGACGCATCTCCAAGCAGAGGGCAGGGATAGCTCAGTAGGTAGTGTTCGTCCCGTGACTCGGGGGTTCGAATCCACTGAGCAAGGTACCGTTCCTACACACTGCTCCCCGGGCGCTGGCTGCCCACTGCTTCACCGAGTGAATGGGTTCAATGCGGAGGACTAATTTCCCTACGGGGAAGAATAAAGTATACATTATTAGAATCTGCAGCAGGTTCATGTCCTGGAGAGGTAGCTGATCACTGGAGTTATAGAAAACGTTAAATAAATCATCTAAACAGTTTAGATCATTTGAAATGAATCTGAGAGTTTCAGAATGGTTTTGGTCCTGGAAGTGTCCGTGTGCC